AACTCCCTGAACCCTACACCCCAAACCCTTAAACCCTAAACCCTAAACCCTAAACCCTAAACCCCAAACCCTAAACCCTTTGCAAGCAGTACACCCCCGAACGCCCTGAGCCGACACCCCCAAGCCCAATCCTCAAGCTTGCAACCAGTAGATAGGTAGTTTTCTAAAAACCTACACCCTCGACTCCACAAACTGCGACCCTGAGCCCTAAATCCTTTCTGGCTAGTTCTCGAAATTAGGGTCCCTTTTGGGCTCTTTTTTTATAAGGGTGCCGTACTAGGTATATTGGGGGGCCTAAGAAGGGGCTCTAATTTAGAGAACTGCCCAGATTGTAGATCTTGTAACACCTTGCAAAACCCCTTATTTAGATACGACTCCATGAAGATTCGCAAACCCTGGCAGCCCTCCAAAACCCAATAAGGCCCTTCTGCAACGTTGAGGGTGTAAGGTTTAGGGTTAAGTGTTCAGGTTTAGGCTTAAGGATTAGGGTTTAGGGACATGGAAGCCATAAAACATCTCTACTACAAAGACCCGACGCCCTCAAACCTGATGGCCTCCCTTAAGAATCTACAAGCTTGAATCATCACCAAGACTACTCCTTCGGGTTCCTTAATTTATTGATAGGGTTTAGGGTTTAGGGTTTAGGGTTCAGGGTTTAGGGTTTAGGATTTAGGGTTTAGGATTTTTAGGGTTTAGGGTTTAGGATTTAGGATTTAGGGTTTAGGATTTAGGGAACCCTATATTCTGCCCCAGACCCCTGTTCCAATCTGTTACTGTAGTAGACAAGGCCGCCTCTCACGCCGCAGAGCCCGGAAGCAGTCATCCAGATGCTGATTCAGGACTGGGGTTTCGGGTTTAGGGATTGAGGATTTCAAAGGGGTCACGGTTATCGGAGCGATTTGGGTTTTGGGTCTTACTTAGCGTGTGGGGCCCTCGATGGTACGTGAAGCTGGCCCTAGCGCTGCAAGGGGTCTCGCAAGGATCAGTCAGACGCGTGAAGGGTTTGTGTAGAGTTGATCTCAGTGCGTATGGTGGGGTCATATAGGGGCCTTAATAATTACCTATTCTATTTTGGGGGTTCCTTCTTGTAAGTATAGTATAATGGGTCCCAAAACCCTATTCTGATTGATAAGGCCCCCCCCACATTATGTTACGCCATGGAGGACAAGCCTGAGCCTCCAAAGCAGATCTTGAGAGCTGAACTCAACCCTGAGCCCTCGACATACACTCGGCACCCCAGACATGCCCTAAGCCCCCGAGCCTTGAACATGCCCGCAGATTGAGCCCTTGGCCCTACAACCGCACCACGTCCTCAAAACAACCACCGAAACCTACGAGGAGGTTCTTTTAAGGGCTTTATCGAGTTTTACGGGTTCCAAAGGGTTTGGTGGGCTTGCTTATGAGGGCTTTTGGGGTGTAGGGGAAGGATTATGGGTCTGAGCAAATCGGTGATATTTCGTGAGCTGAGCGCCGTCGTGGCTTTTCCTAATGACTAAATGGAATATCAACTGTGCCTACAGGCTGTTGTGTCATCTACTCGGCCAGAGAGTCAGCTAAAGCCTTAAACCTCAAGGTCATGGGTGTGAGTCGCAACCTCCCCTAAACCCTAAAGGACGCGCTCTTGAGCACAAACGGCGTTCTTCTCCAGGAAGCTAAAACAGACAGCTCCGGTAGTTTACAAGGTTGAAGGGTTCCTTCAAGGGTTCTGTAAGGATTTCTGTGGGGGTGCTAAAATATGGATTGTGGGTTTCAGGCTTGAGGGGTTCGAGCTTTGATGCTGAGGTGTAAAGCTAAAGTCTGCAATGCCTTGATCTCGAATAGAAAGAAGTCTGAAGAACAACGGGTTCAGTACTGGTCCTCAGGGTTCCTACAAAAGCTTATTACGCCCCGAGTTAATCTCTACCAAGCCTTATAAAGCCTGCAAAAGCTTCGTAGAACCACCGCATGGCCTCAATTCAATACAACACCAAATTCAACTGTTTTGTAGGCGGCGGGGCCCGGCGCCGGTAGCCCGCCGGCAGATGTGGTGGGCACGGCGCTACGACAAGCAGGTGACGATGTGTTGGGTGTAGGGAGTTTGCTAAATTAGGGGTCCGTTGTTCCAGTGCTTCCTTTTACGAACGGGCCGACTGTTGTAGGGATCAAAGGAGAGGCTGCAACGTAGAGAACGACCCATTTGCAGCATGGGGTGAAATGTCTTTGTGGGGCGGCCTCGGTAGAAGCATGTTTGTTCTCGGCTTTTCTGAAGCAGGGTTTGAGGTGTACGCCATTTAAAAGATATAGATACACCCTGGAAGTGCTTGATGTTGCTTGCAAGCTCAACTTACGACCGCAATCGCTAGCTCACTTGGCATCCACTTGGGCCTGAATCCGAATCTGACAGCTTAACTGCCCTAAGCCCTGAAATCCCAATCTTAATTACACCCAAAAACTTTATAATCCCAAAATCCTGAAGCCCTCAACCCCACACCTGAAGATCCAACAGCCTCAAACCCTAAACCCCGAACCTCAAAATCCCAGAGCACTAGACCCGAAGAATACGTTTTGCGCAGCCACTGCCTGCAGGAGTGGAGATCACCACAGACAATGTCATCCGGGCGCTGAAGGAGGTTCTGTTCCGAACCGCCTGACGTATGACATAGGGGCCATCATGTTTTCATAATGGGTTTAGCCGGCTTTTGTGAGGGTTTATAGATTGTTATGAGATTTGTTAGGGCTACAAAAAAGACAAAGGCCTCAATTAGTGCAGGATTTCGAGTATATATCATTGCACAGGCTTGTATTGAGTATAAGTTGTTGTCATTGCCAACCACTCAGACTTATGTATCAAGTAAGTAAACACCCGCATGACTCCCGAGTCTTACAAGTGCATCCCGTGGCAACTCGTTGGGTCAGCTGTCGTACACAATGCCAGGGAACACGGAGAGCCCACAGCTAGTGCAGGAGTCGCAAGAGTTGCCAGCAGTATTCCATAGGGTTGCTCAAGTCTACAATACTTTTCAGTGTACCTTAAAGCCCTATTCTAATCATCCTTATCCTAAAAGTACACGAAGCAATTGGCTATCATCTGAGGGCTGTCTTGAGTGAAAGTGAAGGTAGGATCAGTCTGAGGAGGCAGTTCTGAATCTAGATTACAAAGAAAGTACGAATGCATGTACAATACAGCTTTATCAAGCCCTCGTCCACCTCTATGACCCTTCTCAGCCTATAACCCTGACAAAGCACCGGAAGGGTCTCATAACAGCCTGCAAGACTCTTATCAATCTCCATGACCAACATCAGAGCTTCATCATACAACTTCCATAGAAATCTGTAAGACCACGTCCCTCTAGCCCTACACCCCTAAAGCCCCCAAAACCCTAAACCCTTAACAAAAACACTGCAACCTACACCCTAAACCCCTAAAGCTCTCTAAACCCTGCATATTAAACCCTAATCCCTAAACCCCTAAAGCAAACCCTAAACCCTAAACCCCAAAAATCCCTGAGCATCCACCTCGCGCTCGGACGCCCGAAGCAAGGCCGCGGGACCCGGTGCGGGAGAGCCCTCCTCGAAGGCGCCCTCTGCAGAAGGGTTAGGTTCCCCAGTCCCCAAACCCAATAAGTCCGGTAAGCCCTACAAGCCCTCTAAACCCTATAAACCCTATAGACTATAGAGACCTAAATGTTAAACCCTAAACCCTCAACCCGAAGCCCTAAACCCTAAACCCGAAGCCCTAAACCCTAAACCCTATGCCCTTAGACCTTTAGGTTCCTTGCAGACCTCAGAGTTCCTGCTGTCAACCTTTGGGTTCCTTGCAGAGCTCAGGGTTCGGGGTTTAGGGTTTAGGGTTTAGGGTTTAGGGTTTAGGGAGAGAGAGCTCAAACCTCTCAGGTGCTGGGTGATGCCTTGAAGGCGGCCATGGCAGCGCCCGGCCCGAACGGCTTCGGCGTGGGTCCGACGCCGCTTCGGCAGCTTTAGAAGTTAGGGTTTAGGGCTTAGGGTTTAGGGTTTAGGGTTTAGGGTTTTAGGGTGCAGGATTTAGGGTTTAGGGTTTAGGGTTTAGGGCTTGGGGTTTGGGGTTTA